CATGTAATTTGCCACCTCAGCATATGGTAAGTGTCAAAACATCAAGGTTGTGTGGCTTCTTAAAAAGTTTCCCTAGATTGTCTTTCCCTCTATCAGTGATTGGTTTCTGGGACCATTTTTTATATTCCTACTTCAATCTTACCTTTCTGCAGCCTCAGAAATATTTACCTATAAGCTACTACATTAAATATTAAAATATTTTCAAAGGTGCGATGTTTTCAATTACACTAATTTCGAGCTCTGTGAGAAATGCAACCCACCGTTAAGGCTATATGTAACCCTGAGGAGGAAAAGAAACTACTGATAGAAAGCAGAATAATGGAAAGATCAAGCAGTAAGTAGCAGCACAGTTGGAATTGTGTTTGGCTTTGCTACAATAAAGAAAAACATAATACAAGCGGATAATGTACATTTTATTTTCTTCATGTTGCTTACATGATATCTGAGGAATTTATTCCAAGGCAACAGTTTGATTTCTTACAGAATTAATTATATTTTCTTACAGGCAGCTTACCACATTCTGATTAATTTTTTTCATCTATCTTTTCTTGGTAAATTGGAATGTTCTGGTCTTGTACAACATACAATAAATTATGCTTTTCATAGTTCCTTTTGTATACTTTTTTGGTCATAACAAAGAGCTAAAGAAAAAAATACACACACAAAAACATTCGCTCTGCCAATGAGCAGATTGTGAGTTCCCACTACTGCCAATGTTCTGCTTTCCTAAGTCTGCGGCTCCTAAAATGCCCTATACAAACAATCCAGCTTTATATAAACCTCTAGCTGAGTCAAACAAGCAATTTAATTTTGACTATTCACATAAATCCAAAATCAAAATCAAAATAACACAAAACCGAGAAATATTATCAAGAAATCTACAGATACCACTAAGAGAACACAGCATTTGGAATTAGGCAGACCTGGTCTAGACGTTTAGTCACAGTTGTGACACTAGTTCATTTCTTCCAGCCTTCACTTTTTCCTCCGTGAAACAGAGAAAGTGAACATATTCCTGTGAATTGTTGTGAGGATTAAACGAGGTAACAAATGCAAAGTGTGCTACAAAAAAATATCTTTTTCTTAAAGCAGGTTTAGATCAAAGTACCAAGAAGACTTTTTCAGGTCAGTGATTCTGGATTTGGCCAAAATAGGTGAGAGCAAGATCCTGCTTAAATTCTAGCCTGCTTCACCTTGTTCCTACAACATTTAAAAAAACAAAATTTGCTAGAGGGTATATTTGCTTGCCAGAGAGAGAGAAAGAGAGAAAGAGCACCTCCCCCCATAGGGAATGGTCATGCTGCAAGCCCTTCATTTCGCTTTTAAGCATTTGGGGCATGAACATACACCCAGCGTGTTTTTCAAGCCACTGGGTCCAGCACTTGGACTGTGCAGTTGGCCATGTGGAATTCAGCCACCTTAACCACCACACCACTGGCTGGCCCATTCCTACATTTTTAAAGGCAGGAAACAAGAGAATGAGATAGAGCAGCATAGCTAACTTGATACTGAGAAGAGAACAGACACATGGCTTTTTACAAATTTCCTTCCAATTTAAATCAGAAGTACCTGAATCGTTTTCAATCACACGTCAAAAAATGAGTTATGATAGGGAAGTAAAACAGGTCTAATTTCAGATTTATAGCTAACTACGTATTTGTGTATGTATACAAACTGTTTAACGTATATGTGTATATGTAGATATATACATGCACAGACACCGACACACATCTCACACAGGTACATAACTAAGATGATTCTATGCAGAAGAAAATTAGGCCAACCAATAAGAAACAGAACTGTAATAAGTTGCATTTTTAATGTTAGTACCTATTTTTATTGAGAAAACACAGTAATTTGTCTAGTTTAATACTCTGTATTATAATTGAAGGTAGTAGGTAGCACAGTGCAATAGAATGAGGTCAAAAACAAAACAAGAAAAACCAACCATCATACCTAGCTAGAAGGACTGCAAAGATGATAAAATAATACTAAACTTTCTCTGCTTAAAATCACTATAGGTTCTGACGGGATGTTCATTTAAATCATTATGAATATATTAATATATACATACACACACACACACACACATATATATATATAAAGTGACAAGATAACAAACACTATAGTTTTATTATTTAATTAAAAATCTTCATAGATTTCCAATGGAATCATAATTTTTTTTTTCATTACCACTTTTAGCCTTATACCTCGTAAGTAAGGTCAAATAAATAATAATAAGGTCGAATAAATAACCAACAGATAAGCTACGACTGAATAAGACAATCAATGACTATTACCAAGCGGGTTAGACTGTTACACAGATAGATTTGGTTTTATTTGAGAACATTTCTAGGGGAGGAGTATGGAAGATTGCACTTTACCTAGATACCAATCAATCCTTTCCCACATTCTCTCCTTATAATGTGAATAACACTTTCCACTGAGAGATAGGTTCTATGTGCCCGTCCCTTAAATAGAGTCAAGCTTCCATGACTGCTTCAACAGATTAGGGTAAAGGTGATATGACAGGACATCTGAAGGTAGGCCATACAAAGGGTATAGCTTCCAGTTAATTTTCCTCCTCTCGAGACACTTATCCTTGGGACATAATTACCATGCTATAAAGAAAGCCCAAACTAACCGTGAGCTAAGACCCTATGGACAGACTCTCCTGGAGAGGAATTGGGCTCCCCAGGCAATAGTCAGAATCTATGGTTAGACTTATAAAAGAACAATGCTGCAGATGACTTCAGCCCTTAGAGTCTTCTAGGCCTCAAGCTGATGCCTCAATTCATGGAACCGAGGTAAATCATCCCTGCCATGTCTTGCCTAAATTCTTGACCCACAATCTGTGAGTATAATAAATGGCTATTATAGTCCACTGATTTGAGGTAATTTGTTATGCAGCACTGGATAACTAGAATAAGATGGTTCTATACAAGGACGTGTAAGACCTGAGGGTTGAGGGCTATAGGCAGAGGTTTGTACTTGTTAGAGAAATAAGGTAATTGAGATGAGAAAGGAAAGATTAACATAATCTAATGTTCAGAATCAATATATGGTTCTTTGCTTTCTCTTGTCTTAAAAATATTCATCCTAGCTATTCCCTCAAATAGAACATTCATTCTCCCCAACGATCCAATAGCAACTCTGACCTTCACTTGACAAATTCATACCCTTCTTAAAGGTCTTAGGTCTTACTTGAAATATCACATTCTCCCTGAAGACTCATCTAATTGCTAAGAAATGAGTTCAGATACCCTATTGGATGTTAGTGAATTTATCATACTATATTCCGATTGTTTAAATATCTGTCCTACCTGACTAGGCTATGAGATCCTTGAGAGCATGGATTTTACCATTACATACCTAGCATCAAACAGTGCTAGGTGATCAATAGACATCGGTTGGATAAACAAGTACATGAATGAATGTATGGTCTTTTCCACCTCTACCTTGCTGAACGTACATCAACTGAAAAGGTAGACCATGGAAAATTGGACAAAGTGTGTACTATGAAAGTGCAAAGTGTGTACTATGAAAGTGCAGTGCATTAAACAGGGCTAAACAAAGATTCAATGGCAGCCTCCAAATGAGTTTCTCCTAATTTGCGGCACCACAAATATACCAAAGGTTTTGCGTATTAAATAGTCTCCATCTGGGTTTCAGAAAATTTTCCAAATCAGACATAGATCTCCCTAAGCTCGCTTTACCTTTCTTTCTGATGCCGTCTCCCACTTCCTTTCCTTACCCTAGTCTACAGACCTGCATGATAACCTCCACAAATCCAAAATCTAATTAATCCTGCGCTGCCATTATAAGGGACCTATCATTACAGATTCACGCACCTGGTGATATTTCAGGACAGTACTGATTTCAGGTGTTTCTTTTTGTGGTTGTTCTTTTTATTAGTTAAATTTCAAACTACATGAAGCAGATTCATGAATTGAGAAGTATGTTTTTTCTTTCTTTTAAAATTTTTTGTTTTTGTTTTTGCCAGAGGATGTGTGCAGTCACTGGAAGGTGACAGAAAGAGAGAAAGAGAAAGAAAGAACCCCATCATGGGAATTGGTCGCCCCGCATTCCACCTCCTACATTTTACATTTCTCCCTTTCAAGATTTTAGGTGCACACGCGTGTGAGCGCACACACACACACACCCAGCATATTTCTCAGATCACTGGGTCCTGAACTCAAACTGCACTCTCAGCCATGTGGGCTTTATCTGCCTTAACCACCACATCACTAGTTGGCCCAAAAAACGTGTTTTCTTTCTTTTTTTTTAGTTTATTTATTTTTTTTCCCCACACCGTTGACCATGGGATTGGTCTGCCTTAACTACTGACCCACTAGTTGGTCCAAGAAATGTACTCTTTTTTTGTTGTTGTTGTTATGTGCACTTACCAGGGAGAGAGAGAGAGAGAGACAGACAGACAGAGAGAAAGTTAAAATTCATACCCCAGAGGGGATAGCCATGCCACAATCCTTTCTCCTTCATTCTTCTCTCAAGATTTTGGGCACACATGCACACGAGCCTCGGGTATTTTTCAAGCCAGTGGGTCTGGGACTTGAAATGTTCAGTCAACCTTGTGTTTTTAAATAAAATGAGTCACTTTTTTTCTGAGAGACAATAAAGACATCTGATCAAAGATTCCAAGATTACTCTATTCAATTCTTCTAAGTTTTTATTTCCATTTCTTAATACGAAAGCCAAGCATTTATTTCCTTATAACAATTAATGCAAGAGTGAAAATCACTTAAAATTCTTGTCCAGGGTTATCAAAAGGAGAGAGACTTGTTTATCCAAACGAATCACACAATGGAATGGGAAGAAAATCACTTTTGCGTTAGGAAGGTTTTTAAGCCTTCTTTGTCTACTCCACGTAGTCTACAAGTCTCTTGGGGAGTGCAAGCCCATGATTGTGTACGTCTGCCTTTGCCTCTTTTCTTTCCCTTACTCTTATCTACTGGTCAGAGTACCTACTAGTAAGTTCTTACCTCCTGGTAAGTTCCTCTTCAAAATTGCTTTCATCATTAATCCTCTGAAGATTCAGGTACCTGGCTCACAGTCTTCCCCTCCTTAACCAAATCCTGCAATAAACAGTGTAATTTCAAGGAGCCATATGAATGACCCCATACTTAACATGCATTCTTATTTTCCTCAGTGACCTTATTCACTCTCCAACTCAATAGAACATTTCTATGGACATGCCCTGGATGTCATCACTATTATATTCTCAAAATCATAAATTTGGACATCTTACTCTATGATCTTGCAACTTTACAAAATTCAGGTTTAATTAGGACTCACTAATTAGGTTCTCAAGACATGGTATCTTTAAACTAGGAATTTGAAAGATAATCCAGTGGAGTAGAGGAAGAAAATCTTAAAAAATTTTTTCATTCATTATATTTTCCATTTTTTATAAATTTTTTGAAAGATTTTTGCTGTAGAACATGTGTACTCGCCAGAAAGACAGAGAGACACAGAAAGTGAGAAATCACTCCCTGGGAGGATAGCCATATCACAATTCCCTTTCCTCTACCCTTAGGATTTTGGGTATACATGCAGCACACATGCCTGGTGTGAGTTTCAACTGCCAGGTCTGGGACTCAAACCACAGTTGACCATGTGGGAGTCTTGTGCCTTAACCATTATGTCATCTGCTGGCTTTGATATAATTTGTTTAAAGTTATATAAAATACACTTTAAGAAAATATATATTTAGGGCCAGCAAGTGTTGAAGTGGTTGAGATAGTTTAGACACAATGTAACACATTTTATGTGAAATTTGAAGTACATCAGCATGGAGGTAAATGCATATAATTTACAAATAAGTATATTAGAGGACTTCAAAAAGTTAGTGGAAACCCCCGGGAACCGCGCCGAGTGAGGCGGCAGCGGGCGGAGGGGCCCTGAGTCTGCCCACCCGGCCCGGCTGTGGG